CCAACGACGAACTATTTTAAAGAGAACAATTGTTAGTGAGTTTGTTCCATCTGATCTCTTTATTTTTGTATACTCAACCTAGCGTGATTATTTTTATTTCTTTGCCATACACTCCTGGTAAACTAACTTATTGGGTAGCGAGACCACTACACTCTTACCTCCAGAAGTTTGTGAATAAGGGGATAGGAATATGTTCAAAACGTCTGAGGCATACCCTATTGAGCAAGTATAGTTCAATCGCTGGCCGAACGACTGAACCAAACGCATCCTTGAAGCTAAGGAATACCAGGATGGTGGGTCGTCCGTGCATATGGCGGAGTATGAGGTTGTGTTCAACGTACCCTCTGCCCTGTCGAATTCCCGGCTGATCCTCATGAGTCAAGTTTTCGCGTGTCACCATGAGACAGAATGTAATCGGTTTGAAAGCGACTTCTGCCTCTCGATTTTCCCTGTCTAGGCTAAGGCAACTTGGAAGTATCGCGGCTCTCGTGCTTCCTTCGGGTGGCAAGGCGGCCAGGCTCCGAAATGGTATTAGATCTGAACGTGGTTAGTAGACTCCCTGCGAGCACCCTTCTTGTAAATAGGCATTACCATTGATTCACCCCAGTTGTCTGGGACTGGTAAGGTTCTTCTGTAAAGCCCTGCTAGGTTGCTTGCGCATTGCATGGCTCCATCAAGGGGTATTACTATTTGTAGCACTCCTGAAAGCCACGTTTTCGCAGAGGGCTGCACCTTGAATCTAGCCAATCGCTTCTCGATGGGGCAAGGCTAACATGGTTTATTCGGCGACAGTCAATTTCCTTTTGTGTTTATGTAGACCGCAGGCCGTCTGTGATTAGCGTGGCGTTCCAATGAATTTTCACTGCTTTCGGGTTTGTAGCATTGTCTGTCGGAGTCATGAGCGGCGAATTATGCTACTTTTGGCGGGCCGGAGCTACAGGCTGACAGTACCACATTTTCCGTGGTCATCGGGTTCTCGCGGCAGCTCTCGATGTCGATGTGAATGTTTGTGGCTGATTTCACTGTGGACTTTGGTGCGCTGGTCCCCGCACGGCTGACACAGTCCAGCCCAGAAACTGTGAAACGGGTGCAGCGTTCACCACCGCGGCTTCGTCGTCCGGTGAAGAAATAAGCGATGATAGTTCTACATACGTTGGATGCTACGTCCGCGCGAGGCTCCGCTACACACGAGTCTCACGTTCATTGATAGTCTGGAGGTCCCTGGCGGTTGACTATGAACTGCGTTCCGGCAAATCGGCCGGTTGCGTCAGCGTGCTTCTAATGGTGCAAGTGTTTACAACAACCATCGGATTTTCCACAACACGTGGTACCCACACCCTGGACATTGCCTTCGTAAGCGGCAATCAGTGTGTGATCGCCACAGTTGGCCCGAAGTTCCCTGTGTTTTCGCTTGCAGCTGGACAAGTACTCATGCTTCTCCTACTCTTCTTCTGTCTCCGCACGGCTGACACAGTCTAGCCCAGAAACTGTGAAACGAGTGCAGCGTTCACCACCGCGGCTTCGTCGTCCAGTGAGGAAATAAGCGATGATAGTTCTACATGCGTTGGATGCTACGTCCGTGCGAGGCTGCGCTACACACGAGTCTCACATTCATTGATGGTCTGGGGGTCTCTAGCTGTTGAGTATGAACTGCGTTCCGACAACTCGGCCGGTTGCGTCAGCGTGCTTCCAATGGCGCGAGTGTCTACAAAAACCGTCGGATTTTCCACAACACGTGGTACCCACACTTTGGACATTGCCCTTGTAAGCGGCTATCAGTGTGTGATCGCCACAGTTGGCCCGAAGTTCCCTGTGTTTTCGCTTGCAGCTGGACAAGTACTCATGCTTCTCCTACTCTTCTTACCTTTCTTTCATACTTTCCCCTGGCATTCTGAAGCCCTTGCGATCTCCTTGCGCCACAAAACATGTGACGAGTACTTTCTTTCTTGTGACACGTGAAGCGTGGCCAACATCTTTACGGAAACCTACTATCATCATGTCTGGTTGCTCTCACACAAGCTTCCTACGCTTCTGGTTGCCATTCGGCCACACGATTGTCCGCTGTAGGCCTAAAATTAGGAAGCATCGTGAGCACCTTCGTCACTTCCATGATCTCACATCCTTATTCTAATAAACGAACTGATGAGTGAGGTTACCGCTGCCAAACTTGCTCTTGAAAAATGCCAGGAATCTTCGCCCTAGCCAGTTGTCTTCAACCGGAGAAGCTGAGGCGCCCCTTTCTTAGGCGTTGCTTCTCAAATTCACCCTCACTTCCAAATATTCCGCTGACGATTACCGCTGCCAAACTTGCTCTTGAAAAATGCCAGGAATCTTCGCCCTAGCCAGTTGTCTTCAACCGGAGAAGCTGAGGCGCCCCTTTCTTAGGCGTTGCTTCTCAAATTCACCCTCACTTCCAAATATTGTGGCCGCTGACGAAAAGCCCCTGTCTGACCCGGCTGGTGTTGCAGAATTCATGAACTCTTGCTTCGCTAGCTGCTGTTTCCCTCCGCTTCGACCCTATCTACTCACTGCTGTCCGCCCGGTTACGAGGTGACCACATCTTTTGACGAGACAAGTCCACTCTCTGCACACTCTCATTCACTTTGTCTGACAAAACTTCGTCTATCATCGGCCTTAGAGACTCCAGTTTTCAAAGCCCTGACGGTACCCTTTCGCTTATCTTAAAAGCTGGTGGCCAGAACGTCCCCACCCTCATCCTCAATATCTTCAATATCTCCCTTTCACTGGCACAGCCCCTAGTCAGTGGAAGCACTCTACGATTGTCCCACACTTAAGTCACGTCCAGATAGCTATCGTGGCATTCACCATTCCTACTTATTCCCCCATATCTCAGGGCGCTTTATAAAAGTCCTTGTCATGAATCACCTGCGCACCACCAAGACCCTCAATAATCGGTAGTGTGGATTCATGGCACGGCGGTTAGCTGACACGCTAGGTTGATTTCGTTAATCATATCTAGTCTGCCTGCGATGCCGGACTGTGTTTTGTTCTTATATATTTTGATATTCGGAAGGCGTTCGACCAAGTCCCCCACGATGCGCTCCTCAACCAACTACGATCTACGGGAATCGGTGGCTCGCCACTGCGATCGTTCAATTATCACCTCATTGGGAGAACCCAGATCACCAAGGTTTAGGATCTCTCCCAATCACCTTCTCTGATCACCAGCGAACTTATTGAGAGTAGTGTGCTTGGCCCCCTACTGTCCTTAGTATGCATAAATAATGTCCCTGATTTAATCGCCTGTGGATCACCCTCTCTGTTCGCTGATGACTTTAAGATAGCTTACACGTTTGAGGCCAATGGCTTTGCTTATACTCTTGCGAGCACTCTGCGTGATCTGAATTCACTCTCCCTCTGCCCCCTGACTCCTCTTTTTCGCCGCTCCCAAATGCCTAGCCCTCTCACATCGATTCCAGATTCCTTCTTGGATGCTCATTCTTAGTGGACTCTAGATTTATTTTCCTCACGAATTTAGATACTTCGGCCTTAGTTATTCCTATGTATGAAGTTTTAACCAATATGCAAGGCACAGAATGACCAAAGCTCGCAAGCTCTGTGTTTTCATTCGCCGATCCTTCCACAATAAATCATGTTCAGTTGCTAACTTTGAACGATTTGCAAAACCCATCCTTGAATCCAGCCCTGAATTTACCTCACAGTTTTCGCAGGCATGCCGGACTGCTGTGTAGAATATGAAGCGCTCGCTTATTAAGTCCTTGTTTCCGGCGTCATCGTATTTGCTGTTTGTCACTTGGGCTGGATCCGTTATGTCTGAGGCGCACTACGTAAACCTAGACCTGCTCCGCCTAATCTGCCGACGGGTTTACAAAGCTGACTTCCGCCCTCAATTTTATTCCTGTCTTTGTACAAAACTTTGTCCTTCTGTCGACAGTACATGACACACGGAAACCCGAGGCTGCGCATACCTGATGAGCCCCCAAAAAACGAAATCGGTAGTGGGCCGTTGACGGATTTTC